TTATAAACATGAATAGCAATGGTTGGCCAGATTCAGTAAACGAAACAGATTTTGTCTAATAATAAATGCACGCCTACGCGTGATGAATTTTCAAAGTTAATTTTCTTCTCTGGGAGAAATCAACGTGAGAGAATTTTGTTCAATTGTTCATTTTTCGACAAACTTTCAATCCAAAAAAAAAAAAAATTACTCTCCTTTGAAGAATCGCGATTCTAAATTCTATATTTAATAATTTTTTAAAATAATAATAGTTTTAGTTTAACAATAAACTCGAGTCGAGTTTTAACGACTTTAAAGCTACACAACACATGGCTCTCAACGTTAACGTAACGCATTAACGATCTTCTTTAAAAACTAAACTCGGGCACATATGTTCCCGTGCAATATCACCCACTTTATTCGCCAGAGACATGAATATGCAGTTCTTGAAATGTATTTTATTTTAAATATAAGAGGATGTTTATTGATATAAAGATTTTAGAGATGCTAGTGCTCGATTGAGATCTCAATTTTTTTTTTTTTATAAAATATCGTTTAATCGTTGTAATTTGAAATTAATGTTAGAGCACAAAGTAAACTTAAAAGGAAATCAGTTCGTTTTATGTGCTGTAGTTTATATTTTTGTTGTAAATACAATTTTTAGAGGTGAAAATATATAATATGTGTTTAAGTTAAGTTTTAAAAATATCAGAGATAATTTTGTAATAATTTAATAGATTATACGTATAAATCTTTTTTACCAGAATATATCACTCTGAGAGAGTATTATATAGAGAGAGTATAGATTCTTAAAATTTCAATGTTTCTTTCGTTTTTCAAAATTTTATAACGATACACAAAGTACAACTTCAGATGATGTAAAATGATGATATAGAATATTTTTTAGTGCTCCATTATCTTCAAGTTGTAAAATCCTCAAGCAAAATTGTATTCAAACGTAAAATAAAAAGGGCTTTCTAAAATTTACATTTTTAAAAATACTAATTTATATAAGAACAAAAACATGGATTTTGAATAAAAATAAATTCGAAATTTTTTTAATTGTGCCACTATTAAACAGCAATATCTCCATTTAATCTCCATTTTCTCAAAAACAAGGACACAATTGATAAAATATTCTATTCTACCTATCTTTTGTTTATTTTCACATATAGAACAATCTCTTATCGATAATATTAGATAATTCATATGAATCAACTTATACTCACTTTGTATAAACAAATTTTATTATCTCTTTTCATTACTGTAGAATCTTATTCAATTTAAATTGCCCTCGATTCAAACATCTTATATATATATATATATATATATATATATATATATATATATTCATATGCTTTTGACATAAAGAAAATATATCCTTAATATAGAATTCATATTCTTTCCCATTTCTTCCTCCTCGTCGTCGAATCTCACAATAACTCGTAATAAAAGTAAAATAAAACTCACAATAAAAAAAATTCCATTCCCATAAAATCGACATTAAGAAAAAAAAAAAAAAACTTCTCTTGTATAAGAAGAAAATGCCAACTACAGCGATCGGCTTTAGTCTTTCGAGCTATGACTACCCCCCAAATAAAACCGATCGATGTCGAAAATCTCGGTCGTAAATTTAGAAAGGTTCACTCCACGATGTAGAACCGCCTTTTTCGCGTTTTATTTTCTCCCTCTTCTTCGCATTATCGTGAACGATCCTTTCGATCTTTGGCTATATCGTTACGGGTGTACTTACATCGAAATGTGTTATTTCGAGTGGCGAGGGAAAATATTTTTCAGCCATCATCGTCGTATTATATATATATATACACACGATGATTATTGCTTTTTATAGAAACAGAAATGTTCAGATCAAAATTCGTTTCACGTTTTCGTTGTTATTTCGAAGTACGATGTACTCGTTGGATCGATTGTCGCGTTTTTGGGTGTTTGCTTTTTTTAACACGTTGAATTTTAACATCATCTTGTTAATAATTTTTCGAGTCGTGCGATGTTTGTTTGTGAAAAAAAAAAAATTAAGTAAACGAAGCTTCAGAAATAAGATAATTTTGCTTTTTATTAAATATGTATTATGTTCATAGATAAAATAAATAAATAATTAATTTATATGATAAATTCAATGTTTTTATTTCTGTTTAAAAAATAAATTTTAATAAAAATTCAGTTCAAATTAGAACTAATTTTGATTCTGTTATCTATCATTGTTCTATTGTAAGGTATGGTCGAGCAGATTTCGTGACGCATCAATTATTGTACCCTTCATATGTAAAATATTCTTGATAAAGCATATTATATAAACTTCGTGTGTAATGAAATATTTAAGCATGTTTCGAAGCGTTGTTTTAAAAGAAAAATTTAAAAGAAAAGATAGATATTTGTAGTTTTAAAAAAAAGAAAAATATAGGAGAAATTATAAATATTCAATCATTCAACTTTGTGATTCGCGAAAAATATTTTTGCTATAAGAAAAAAAGAAGAAAAAATAAATGAAAATTGTTCGAAAATTTCCATTAAAATAATAAAAAACGAGATATCGAATGATCAAATATGAGATAATTTTCTATAGCACACTGAATAACGATGATGATACTCGAATTCGCAGTCAAATAAACGCATCGATATTTGCATATGTATTGGTCGAGTGAATCTCTCGCTGTTTTAGCTATTCACACCGATTGAATAATTCACCCTGATACGGTGAATTTGTCGGTTCAAATATATCGACTTTACCTCAATTCGCACAACTAAGTGTAGCTTCGTACGCCTTTTTCTTTTTTTTTCTTTCTTTTTTTTTTTTTTTTATCTCTCATATTATACATTTTCTCATAATTTAACATCAATGGAATTCATTATTAAAGTTCCACAAGTTTCACTCGTCAGAAATAATTGATATAATTTATCACAATAAATTTATGATAAATTCTCAGTGAAAATATAAAATTAATAGAGACAAATATTTCTCCGAATTACACGTTATTCCGTAATTAAAAGATTATATTGGAATATGTATACAGATTGAATAATTAATTTAATAATGGATAATCGTATATTAATTACAATAATTTATCTTTGTATACTTTGATACTATATACACTTATGTATATTTAATTTCAAGTTTATTACGATATATATTTACGCGGTTATTATAATAACATACTCTAATTGCATACGATTTTAAATTGTAAAATATTTGTATTTCATGTTTAAGTGTTTAATACAAAATGTATATGGATGAAATATTCAAGAGTGCGTTTAACTCGAAGCAAAATTAATTTTTAATTCCTCCTCTATCTTAAAACAATTTTCAATGAAGATTTCAATAAATAATAAGACTTTTGATTAATGTTTTCTTGTTGTATTCTTGCAAATCGATCAAATTGCATATTTTAATACAAGTAACTATTGAGTTGAAATTCGACTTGAAATAATTCTATTAAAACAATAGAATATGAGAGTAATTTTGTATATATCGTTGAATAACATTTTCTTCTATTATATTATAATTCCAACAAAATATAAATTTCAAAAAATATCAATGCTCCGTTTTTGCAATTAATTTTTGTATTTTAGATTAATATTAATATTTATTTCAATTATTTATCTTTCAATAACACATCTGTCAGTTTCTTTAAAGTCAGATGTCGTTCAAGACATGTCATTTGAAATAAAGAATAGTTGGAAGAACCTCAGCTTCACTTGAAAGAATATTTCAAGTCAAGTCAAACAACAAGTCCACGTTAAAGCGTTATCAACTTACTTAAATACAAGTGTCAAATTGATTGATGATTGGAAACAACGTGTAGAAACGTGAAAGGATATTGCAAGTCAAATAAACATGTTTATATCGCTCAAGTAGTTTTAAATTACACGAGTTCAAGACGAATTCAATTTGATCAATCTAAACGAGATTTTAAATTGTATTTACACTAAGCAACTTTCAAGTCAACTTGTCTAACTCGTGCCGTTTATTTTATCCTATTAAAATGCAATATATAGTGAGTGATTTTGAACTTGTTTCAGAGATTGTTTATAATGTATAACTTAGAGACATTAACTTTCTTAAGATAAACAATGTTATACCTAGATAATAATAATATGATGGTTAATATGATAAATAATTTAAGTCGATATTAACTTCAACTTCAATGTAATAAAATACAATGTATATAATGTATATAGAGTGTTTTCTGTTTTTTTTTTCTGCAAAATTTCAGGATTATTATAATTTATAAGAAAGAAAAAGAAATGTTATATAAAAATATATGCATAATTATACACTAAAAAATATGAATTTTGATTTTAAATGGTTAAATGAGAATTTAAACATTTTAAGCGATCTTTGAGAAATATCGCAAGTAAATTGTTTATGCAAATTAAGATTTATATGGATGCAACTATAAAATGGAATTGAATTTAAGATTTATTTCAAGATTTATTCCTTTGAATACACATTTTGCTTTGAATTTTATGTCTTTTTGCACATTATATATGTATTCTGTAGATATTTGTACATTTGAATTTTCCATAAATATAAACACATGTTATTAAAAATTAATTATTATTTAAAATTGTTTATAAAACTTAAAACATTTGTATTTTCACTATAATATTTTTTTCTCATATTTATTTATAAATTATATTCCCACTTTGGTCGAAAAAATAAAAAACATTCTATATAAACATCTATTTTTTTTTCATAATTTTTTGATAACAATTTGATTAAATAAAAAAATAATTAGAGCCTTTTTATATTATCATTCGTTTAAAAATTAATCATCGATTATCAATAAATATATCGATATAATGCTCGTTTTTCTCGTTTTTATCTTATTATTCTATTTTTTTTTTATTATATATTTTCGCCATTTCGATTACACGGCGTGAAAAATAAGCATTAAATCGATCAACGATCGATTACATTTATTTCCAATCAACGAAAACCGCATAATATGAAAAAAGTTGTTAATAAAACAAAAACATATTCCGTTTTATCTTTTTCTCACCTGGCTGAAATGCGTGTTAACTCGCATTTCCAAATATTCGTATCCAAAATCATGACATAATTACTCGCTTCTCCATAACAATCATCACTAGAATATATAAGAATCACAGTAGGAATGTACGCAAAATATAATCAAAATCGTAAATCATGTCGTGTCGAGCAATCTGTCAAAGATTTTTTGTCAGATGCTGCAGCGTGCCCCTCCTTCTATCGATTTTTGGTATAGCATGTAACGCCGTTCTTTCCGGTTTCAAATATTTCGAAGCGGAGAACTCGAAGCAGGAGAACTGCATTCAATTTTGCAAAGATTTTATCTTTCAATTAAAGTTCTTAATACAAAAAAATCTTGCCGTTAATCTCAAACAATAGGACAGAATTCACTTTCTTTTGATCACAAAGAAACAATTCGAGATTGCACATTAAATCTCTTACGTCGGTATTATCGCACATATATATCTGACACTGTTCTATATAATTTCCCTATGCAGTCTCGTATATCTTCTAGGAGCTTAAAGGAGATCTACCTTTACACTCGTCTAAAACCGTTTAAATGACGTATCTTTCAAACATTTCATATCTCGTGCGTTTCTCTCATCGAACATAACCTCAAAAGTTTGGATATTTTTTCATAGACACTGTTCATCTCGTATTTTTTCATTTTCGTCTTTTTCATCATTATTCATATGTACAGAAATGTCCTTGGTTTAATTCTTTTTTTTTTTAAATTATATACGACTCTCTTGCGGATAAATACAATTTTGCAACTTTAATCTATTCTTGTACAGCTATTCCATTATTTAGTCGATGCTATATAAAAGATCCGAAGCCGCTTTCTACGAAAAAAGTTGATTACAATTCTTTCTCCGTTTTCTCGCATTCTTTTTCTCTGTCTCTTGAGAGAAATAGCAGGAAATAGTTCCAAACACGAAATAGTTCTTGTCCTCGTTTTCTTTTATCCCTTTGCTGGAGACAAAACCGAGACGGTCCTCCTTCGACGATCGTTGACAAGCACGATCGAATTGCTGTGAGGGCGCCACGGTCTCTCCTTTCGATTCGAAATCACGAAAACGATCCCTTTCGGGCTCGTGAAGTGATTATTGGGATAATCGAATTTCTTATACGTTTGCGACAAAGGTCGTGCCTATCGCATCCTTTTTATTGTTCCGCTGCTTCGACTAATACCATTTTTCTTTCTTTAATGGAGACTCGATCGATCGCTATTGTTTCATTTTTTTTTTCTTATCGATCTATCGAATTTTATCGATACGATAATCGAGTAGATTCAGCTAAATGCGATGTGTAATTAATATTCTCTTGAATGTCTTCTGAAGAATTATTCAGAAGAATCTCCTTTTCATTTATTATTTTATTTAAAAATTTGAATTTAACAATTAAAACTATTCTGAAATAGTTTATTGGTTAGTCCCAAGTTCGAAATTAATAATTTGGACGACCTTGAACAACCATTCGGAAGTATCTTTCTTGTTATTTAAAGATGAAAGAAATAGAATAATTTCGAAGTTCTTCGTCTTCGATGACGATTCACGTTATTTAAAAACATAATTTCATTCGGACGAAATTAATTTCGCATAATTCCGTGCAATTTATTATTTGTTTGTTTCTCCGCTTCGAAGAAACTTTGTTATTTCGCCTAGCAAAAAAAATCAATCCTTCCATTAATTATCTTCCTTGCCACTTTGCTGCCAATGCAATTTATCAAATTTTAATTAACGCATCGATGTTTAGTTCGCGCCTGTGACGAAAATCTACACCTTCTCTTCTCCTTCTTCTTCTTTTTTTCTTTTTTTTCTGAGAAATTGATTTTGACGATGATAAAATTACATTTAAATCGTCACTTTATCATTCGTTTGACACGATTCTTTAAATGTCAGAAACATTTGATATGGAATATTAACGTTAGTTAAACTTTGTCTTGCACCGATAAGAGATATATTTTTCGTTAGAATTAACCGGATTAATATTCACTGTAACTTCTGATGAAACTTGAGTGGATAAATGGGAAAACCAATATTTTGAATAAACGATTCGCAGAAGTAGGAATGGAAAGATATTAAAAAATGTCGACGCATCAATCTGATCTGAATATTAAGAGGAATTAAATATATCATTCTCGGAGGGCGAGAAGAATAGGCTAAGTTAACGAGGAAAAACGCTTTTTCGGGTCAACAGTTTGTTAAGAGGCTTTTATACTTAATCCTGACATAAGTTCTTTTTTTGTCTATTCAAACACATCGCGCGCTCACGCTCCCTTATCCAAAAGAGAATGAAGAGGAACAAGAAACAAGACAGTTGGAATATTATTACCGAAAATTATGCGAAATAAATTATGAGATTTCGAGGATTTAATATTGATATCAATAATTTTTTCACGTATTTTACTTTTTTTTAATCCGCACCTTTGTCTCGAAAAATACTTTCTCCCTATATATCTTCTTTTATTCTTCCTTTCTGTTTACTTCTCAATTCGAAACAGTATTTTTTCTTTTAAACACACAGATCCCAGGTTTTCTTCTCGTTGCTCCAAGAGTTATCAAGAGAACAATTTTGAACAATCTTCGATCGTGTTTACACTCGTACGAAATCCTCCCGGATCTCTTCTCTTTTTTTTTTATCTTATTGGCACCTTATTTGAAACGTTCTACGTTTCTAAAATTACGTCGACGACACTCCCGTCGATATCACTTGGCTCCGTTTTCGGATTTTCACCCGAGCGTTTGTTTCCTTTTTTTAGCCGGCTGCGAGCCGCGCGAACATCCGCGACGAATACTTTCTCCTCAAACTTTCTCACGATCCCTCCTCTTCCTTTCCCACTTTTCCTTCCCTTAAATAATCCTCGTGTAAAAAAATAACACACTCGTCACTCGTGATCGAAGGGACGACATTTCAATCTCTCGAGATTCTCCCCTGCGAGAAAGCGATAAAGCCGACACGCAACCTCGAAGCGCTTGCAGCGCACTGAGCGCTCCGCCGAAGAGAATGATCCGAGCGATCCGCGGAAGGAGAGCGAGACGAGTGACCCTGGCAGTGGATTCCGCCTGCGCGAATCTCCTCTCTCTCTCTCTCTCTCTCTCTCTCTCCACCCCCAACTTCATCCGTCGATCCGTCTTTCTCATCGTCGCTTTTCCATTTCCATCTTTTCTCATTTTTAAGAAAAAAAATCCTCGTGTTTTTCCCCTTCCCCATTCATCCCTCATGTTTCTTTATATACCATCATCTTGTTTCATTTCCAACGCGTACCCTTATCCAACGTTTTTCTTTCATTTTGTATTACATTCGTCTTTTTCTGTCTCTTTTTTTCCCTCGTTCAATCTCGCCCCATTTTCACCTTAGCCCTCCCTCTTGTTTCCTTTCTCTCGCAACCCTCTCGCCAAACAGCGCCGTCTCTCCACCCCACCACCATTTGTCTCGTTCTCGACGATCCTCTGTCCTTCTTCATCCTCGCTTTCATTCATAGAGTCCGGAGCGTCGAGAAGAAGCGGTGAAAGAGATCGACCTACGTGCGCACTTATGCACGATACACTACGTTACTTCATCCGAGCGGCATATTCGAGTTTTCGATTGTTAATTCGTTTTAGACACGATTCTCTCGACTTGTAAGTATGTATATATATATATATATTCGTTTTATGAAGGTAGAGTTAGATCGTTGATTTGAATGATGATTGTTATATTTATATTTCCCGCCAATTTTCTTGTGTTTTTCGAAGAGTGAGATTTGGATTTGTTGATATAACGAGTTTAAAATAAATTGGTACAAGAGATATAATTGGAAAAGAAATTCGTTGTAAGGTCGAGGCCAGTGTTTTTCAACTTGTTCTGACATTCAAAGCAATTGCCAAAAATGAGAAAACAAGGAAAATGATATATATAATTATTTTTATTATATTCATAATTATTTGTATTTACGATAATTCAAGGAAAATCCTCGTCCAAATTCAGTAAAATCTCTTTTGCAATTGTTATTTATTGCAAAGATTTACTCGTAACGTTTTGAATTTTCTTTTTGATTATATTCGAAACGAATATGTGATGTTTAAATTAAAAGGTGTAAAGTAATCCTCGAATCACTTTCATTCTTCAACAAATTTTTTACTTTTCATTATATCGTATTTTACATAAAACACGATAAAAGAAAAATCTTCTACATTCTTTTCGTAGGATTGATCTTTTAATTTCAAATTGTAATTATCGAATGAAAGTTTTTAATAGATTTTACGTCACATTTTATGATCGCTTTTTCGATAATTTTTTTCTTTTTCTCCTTGTGTTCTTCTTGTACGATTAATTGGTACAATTTTTTTTTTATCCTACAAAAATATCTTCTTATGCAATAATGAAAATCATACATAATTTCACATATTATTCACACAGAGGAAAATATTTATTAAATTGATTAAAAATTAAATAAATTGTAATAGGAAATTTATTTTCAAAATATACCTATTCTTCAAAATATTCTATCGTCTGTTTCGTTCGATGTAATATGAAAGAACTTGAAAAATCACGAAACGAAAAATGGTAGACATTATTTAATTAATTGTACTCATAAATATTATCCTAAATTAAATATTATTATATATGTGTAAAATAAACTTCATCTTAAAATTAAACATAATCATATGATACAATTAAATTTACAAAATAAACATTAAAATTCTAAGATTATATTTGATTTACTAATCAATATCATTTAAAATTAAAATTACGAGATAAATTTATAAAATATACAATTCAATTCATAAATTGATATAAAATAAACATCATAAACTCAACAATTGTATTAAAAAAGTTCGTTAACCAATTATTACAAAACATGTTGTAACTTCGTCTACTAATTTTAAAAATATTATAACGACGATTAAAATTTTAGAGATTTCAGATTTTATTTTCATAAAAAAAAAAAAAAAAAGAAAAAGAAAAAGAAAAAAGAACCAAGATTATTTTACTCAAAAATATCCCGAAAACCCTTCTCACGATACACAATTACGAATCTAAATACGTCTAAACATAATTTACATGCAGCTCACGTCGAGAGACCACTCGAATACTCGAGAGTCCTTTTACCGCCCGAAATCCGGATGATATCTCACGGATCCTCCCCTCCCTCCCTCCCTCCCTCCCTCCCTTCTTCATCAATCTCCCGCCCTTCAGGAAGCGATCCGTTTTTCCTGTCGCGAGTCACGAAACTCCCCCTCTCTCCCTCCCACGCAATCTATGGCCACTAATCTCGATAAGACAACTCGTTTTACTCCGCTGAACTGAAACACGGGAAGGAAGGTCAACAACCGAGAAATTCGCCGATCGATCACTACGCTACGTAGGTCGCGTAACCGTGTGGATTAATCACGGTATCACGGGTTTAAACGCGGATGGTGGATCAGGCCGCCTAAAGCCCAATTCGTTCGGAATTTGGGCATCAGTTTCGAACGATGGGTGAGCGATGATCCCCCCTGGGATGAAATTTTCCAACTCGTGTGCGTTGGAAAATCTCCGATCAACTCCGAAATTTCGTCTAGGAGATGTATTCTTCAGATTCTGTCTCTGAGATATATCAGTTATATATGGTTATATCAGTTATATAGTGCCTTTTGACGGATGGTTCAACGAAAACACGATCCTCGCTTTTGCAACTTGATCTGTCTGGTCAGTGTATGTTTATATATATCTTAAGGAGAGTTTACCAACGTTGAACGTTACTGAAATGAATAATAATTCTATTTTATGTGAAATTTTGCGGGCATATAAGGTTGGTTTATAGGTTAGTTGTTGTTGGTTTGGTTAGGTATTAGTTTATGTGAGTTATGTAGGATGTTTAAAAGTAGGTAGAAAATGTTTAATTCAGGGGGGTTAAAGCGAATGTTTAAATGCGAAAATATCAGATTTGTTGGGTTATGGGTAATTTAATTTTGCATTCGATGAAGTAACATGTGCTTGTTTATAATATCTCTAAAGGATAGTGGCGATAAAATGATTTTTTAAAAATTGTTTGATACAAAAGTGCACGTTATATTACAAGTTTTAGGATATTTTTTTAAAAAGTGAGCAATTATTAATTTAGAAAATAATATAATTTAAAATTTGTGGAAGAAGAATCAAGAATAAAATATTTTCAAAATTAATATATATATATAGTTTAATTTTTTTATAAGAAATAACGAATTGCTGCATCAAATTATTAAAAATTTAAAATATATAAATTATATATTCTTTAGAATATATTTCAATATTATACGAGTTGAGGAAAATATCCGTCGTGTATATGCATTTTGTTTAAAAAATTGTTGTTCTAAAAATTGAAAAATTAAATTGCTTGTAACTTAATTAATAAATTTCATTCGACATTTTTGTATACCAATTTTCATGTTTGTTTTATTTTCTATAATTATTTTTTAAATTTTGCCAAAGTATCGTTTACAGAGTAATTTTTTTATTATACGAAATAAAACTTTGAAAAAAATAAAATTTATATTTACCAATATTTTACTATCTTTTTTTTTAATTTTTTTTTTTTTTGGCATAACTTTCCGATTTCACAGAAAACGAAATAAAATTTTAAATATATATAATAAAACGTTCAAATTTTCTATTATTTTGTTATAAAAAAAATATCGTTGGAACAAAATTTTATTCGAAATACGAAAAATATTTAGAAATTAATCGAGAAAATTGTTTCACGTGTCATTCTCTACAAACTTCTTTCGTTAAAGTCATATTCAACCTAGATGAATTTTCTTGCAAAACGTCTCAAAACAAAGAAAAAATTGTTCAACCCGTCACGATCTCTTTCGATGATAAATGGAAGATTTCCTTGCGAAGCCCGATTAAGAGTTGCTCCATATCGATGGAGGGTCAAATATTTGCCAAGAAAACAACTATTTATCGGGAAATATTGCCTTTTCAAACTTTCCTCTACACTTATCCTACGGGAATCCAAACCTTGTCCCTTCTTTTTTTTTTTTGTTAAAAAATTCGTCTTACGAAAGAATTCTTCACAGTTCATTCCCCTGCCATCCGGAAGGTTTATATACACGATGATAAAATGAAAATTTCATATAAATAAAATGATTTATAAGGTGGTTCAAGAATGGAGGACAGATAAAGTGAATTTCGCCCTATCTAAGCGGCATAAGAACAAGAACGTGCGCCACAGGGAATATCGTTCATCGATTCGATTCATGTTATCTCTGGTATTTGCGTTGCACTCCTGCCATGCGTTTATCGTGGCTATTATGGGCCACGATGGAAATTTGATTGGTGTGTTCGTGAAACGTAAATGCGAAATCGCGATCGCAATTCATTACAATTCCTTTGACAATTCTGCTCTTTCTCTCTCTCTCTCTCTCTCTTTCAAAAAAAAAAAAAAGAAGGAATTGTATTTCAATGCTTGACGAATTATTCTTTCGTTGAATCAATGAAACAACGCGGATAACAACGTGAAAATTAACGATGATACTCGAAACTTTTTAACAAAAAACATATATATATATTTTTTAAATTTAGATATATAATATAATATCGCGAATGTGATTTTATTTTTATTAGGATCAAAAAGGAAAAGAAAAAAAAAGGAAAATCAATTTATTCCCTATCGTTTATCAGTCAGATTGAAAAATATAGCTATATACACATACCGCATAATTGTCACTCGAGACGCGAAGGAATAAGGTTATATTCTGATATAATATCGCGATAGGATCGTCACACGTTATATATGCGTCACACGTGCAAACTCAGATTTACGATCCGATGATTAGCCGCGTAATGTCGACACCCGTTGTATTTACGTCTCGATCCGGACCGTTCGTATCGTATTAAAATAATTCTCTGCATCCGTCCTACTCGTTGACGGATCTTCCAGGCCGCGCGTAAAGGAAACCGAACCTCAAACCGAACCATCATCCGACCCAATTACCGGAATTAAACGCGACA